GCAGTGAAGCGGCAGCCGCCCGGGGGCGCTAGAGGGCAGTAATCTGGGGGTGGGGCGGAGGGAGGGGAGCACCGGGCGGGGAAGAGGTATGGCGGGCCAGGGATGTGTTTTGACATTTACTTCCTGCTACGGACATTAGAATCTGAGTGAACTGTGACTATTTGTGATGATGTCTGTGTTGCAATGAGACAGAGTCATAAAATAGTGACCAAATTTTCCTTTCTTTTTGGGTGTATTTCTTTTTTTTTCTTTTTTCTTTTTCTTTTTCTTTATTTTTTTGCAGCTTTGAGGCATTTTATTATAAAAAGTTGATATTCATATACATAAACTAATATGAACTTAAAATCATACATTTAATTCATTTCTTTGCTTGACCTTCTAGTAAATCTTTAGCTTCGTTGATTTTGGCTGCTATATAAGGAGATCCTCCTTTGTCTGGATGATTTAAAAGCATAATTCGTCGATGAGCGTCTCTTATTTTTCCTTTATTAGCAGTAGGGCTTACACCTAATATTAATGCTGCTTCCTGTTTTGTCATTTTGGGTTCAAATCCACCTCTGTAATAGCCACCACTGAAGGCCTGCAAATCCAGCAGCAGCAATGGTCAGTCCAACTGCTACCACTGTACTGGCCATGGCTCTGGTTTGGCTTCCCTGCCTCCACCGCGAGCACGGTTCATCCCAGCCCAGAGGCCGCAGCCACCAACTCACGCCTTCAACCTTTTACTGTTTTTCGAAGCAACTGTAAAGTCAGTTCAAGTGGTTTCTGGATGTTTGTTTGTTTTGGTGTTTCTGCAAGGGAAGAAGAGATTGAACTTTTATAGAATGCTGTTTTCATTACATTACTTTCCAGTAGCACTTTAAAAAGTAGACAAGATTAAGAACTCATTTGAATACCTTTACTTTGCCAACCTCCAGGTGACAGGTGTGAACTCTGCCCACCTCTGTGTGGTAGATAGGATACTTTTCCATGGGACCACCAGCAGATGGTATAATGGTTACATCGCTGGACTCCCATGTGGTCAACCACAGTTCAAGTCTCAGATATAATGGCTTAAGACTCATGCTGGGAACATGTGTGTGCATGCCCAAAATCCTGGGAGGAGACTGAAGGGGGGATTTCAGCATGACTGTCCCCTCTGGGGGTTGATTTCTTGCTTTCCTGTCTCTCTGCCTCTATATAGCAAAAATCTCTCTCTCTAAAAAAGAGAGAGAGAGAGAGAGAGAGATACTTCTAGGATCTGAACAGTCTGTCCAAGGTGAGAGAGAGATAAAATTCCCTTCCCTGGGGTTCATCCTCAGTGTCAGGGCCCACTTGAGATGACTGACATCAAGAAAATTCCTTCCCTTTAGGGAAGACATGTCCATAGGTGTGTGTCAAGCCAACTCTTTCAAAACATAGTCCTCTGAGACGGCAGTTCAAACAGCACATGGGGACCGGCAGGTGGTGTGGTGGTTAAGGCGCTGGACACTCCCACATGGCCGACCAGGGTTCAAGTCCTGAATCTGGTGGCTTGCTTTCTCACTTCCTCTCTCTCTCAGTCTCACCCTCTGTCTCTCTCTGGTCAAACTAAAAAAAAAAAAAAAAAAGAATGGATAAGTAAAATAAAATAAATAATTATAAAAAACAACAGCACATGAAGGGGGTGGGACATTACAGTCCCCCTTGGTGCAATGTTTCCTAATTTCAGTCATCCATGTCCACAGCCACTGTTTTTTTGCCATACCTACACATCATATATATTATTACTTACTTTATAGTTCTCTTCAAATCAATTCCTTTTTTTAATTTTAAAATGTTTGTTTGTTTAAGAAGGAATATCCCTTGGGCTGACTCCATTGCCTGGTGGTTAAGGCAGCTGGATTCTATATGACTGACCCTGCATGTGCGTGTGTGTCCAAAATCCAGAAAAGAGGGAGGGAGGGAGGAGAAAGGGCTGTGTCATGACCATTCCCCAAGGAAAGTGCTTTTTCCTCTTT